TCTGTAAGATCAGAGAACCCCTATTTGGACTTCTTTAGCTTCCCCCGAGCCTCCACTCTGTCTGCCTGCTGGTCTGAGGACCCTCCTCTTAGGTAGGTCGAGGGCACTTGACTTTGCGTGGATGCCCGTACAGGAAAGCAGCATGGTCCACATGGGCCCTCCTATAATCCGAATGACACTAAAAGCAAATCAGAACAGGGTAGAAATTAACCAGGGAAAGGGGCTGAGCTCCCATGGAGAAAAAAACAATTTCTTCATGCCATTGTCTTTCCCTCCAAATATATTATCGATGTTACTTCCCCCAAACTTATCATAGCCTGCTTTATAAACCTAATTATTATGTATCGATTCAACTTCCCAAGACTACAATCTCCTGTCAGGCTCAGATCTTGGTTAATGTTGCATTACCACAATGGGTGGCTATTACTTATTAGCTAAGTAATTGATAAATGTGTTCTACAACATTTGCAACAAAGTTATATTTGTCATGGATACAAGTGAAGATACCTAAGGATTGGCTCACACAATTAAAATGTAGTATGTGGAGATCCACTAATTGGGAATGTTGTTGAAAGTGGTCAAAGGTTAGGTTTGTGTTTGCCTTAGCATGTTTCCTATGCTAATAAAATCAATAATGCATGTGAATTTTTTAAATTATATAGATTGATCTGAGATTCTTTAGAGACACTTTTAAAAACAAACTGTTTTCAACTTTGTTAACCATTCTGGGAGCATTTATAAACAATTAAAATGCCATATCCTTCTAAGCATCTGAGAAGCTAACATTTCGTGAGAACACCTTGCCCTGGGACCCTCAATTAATTAGTGTGTGTTGCCTGGAGAACCGTCCAAATGTGCCTATCCTAGTAGTCTAAGGGAGGCAGCTTTGCCTCAGAACCAGTTAAACCTATAGAAAGATGACGTTGCTTCCTTTGGGTTCATGACACAGAAAACACTAAGTTGGGCACCCGTCTCTCAAGAGTATTCGTCCTCTGCTAGTAGAACAGCAAAGGAAAATCAGGCAGATAAAGAGGGTGAGGGAAAGAAGAACACAAAGGGATCACTGGCTGGAACTGATGCCCCGTGTATGAGGGTGGAGAGAGAAATGGTCTGTTACAGAGAATGGCAGGAGGTGAGTGGAGAGAGAATGTGCTCACTGTCTTGTGAGCTGTAATTACATTTGGTCTCTGAGTAGAAAAATACCTACTTTGATATAACCCCAATATATCCTCTCTAATATTTACCTGCCAAGACCTAAAATTTTGACACATGGCATGAAGCATTTCTGCAATGACAGAATTCTCGCTGTCTCAGGAAATGTTGTGATTGAAAATAATTCCATATTCTTTTAGCTCTCAAGTCTCTTATTCTACTCTAGAGGGGAAAATGAGCTGATTACCATTTCTAAGATTAAAGAGTCTTTAAGTGGTGAAAGCACTGCAAGAACCCTGTTTACTTCATCATCTTACTGTGGGATGCAAGGATGGTACACTTGCTAGCAGCCATCGTCAGACCACACCAGTGCTTTGTCAGAAGGGTATGTACCAGGGCATGTCAGCCTCATGAGTCAGGCAAACCCACAAAACCTTCCCAGGCCATGTTTCAAGGCTTTTGTGAATCTTGAGACCCCATTGGAAGGTTTTCAGTTTTCATAGGGTTTCACCACGATGCTCTCTGCTTGCTATTTGTTGCTCATGCTCAGGATGGGAAAAACTTCCATCCCATTACCAATTCCTAGAGGGAAAATTCGTGGAGAATCGATGGAGTTCTGTCTCCTAGCAGGGCCAGGAGAAAGTGGCTGCCAAGGTGTTGCTGGTAATTAAGGTCTCGACCCCTGCAGGCAGCTACGAAGCCCATGCTCGTTCCTATAAGATCCAGATAGAACAAGCCAAACTCCTCTTTCAAGTGTGTCTGAGTGAGACTAGGAGACATTGATTGTCACACACATGTACCCTACACACACAGAGCTACTGTTCTGGCAACTGAGAGATGGGATCCCCAAGTCTAATGCCGTTAACTCCTTGTTAATTTCATAAGGCGCTGAATAGTAGTAAGACCTCAAATTTATCTTCACTGAGACTTTGGATAATGGACACATGCTCATGATGTATTTTTAGCCAAAACTGTTCCCACATAATTGAGAACATCTTAATTTGATGTTTACTTGAATTTAAAGCTTGTATTAATCTTAAAAATTAAGTTAGATAAAGAGAAAAGGATTAGAAGACCAACTTCATTGCATAGAGGTTAAGAGTGTGAATTCAGAGCCACGGCTGGATTCAGATCCTTGCCCTGGAATTTAGTCTCTTTGCTACCTTGAAAAAGTAGTTAATCTGTCTGTGGTTCCGTTTCTTCTTCTTAGAAAGGGAAATAGTAATTAATAGTGCCTAATCATAGGGTCATGATGAGCGCTGGAGAGCTCCAAACATAAAAATTGTTTTGAATTGTGCTTGGAACATAAATAATACAATTAGCATAGTATTTTCAGATATGGCATTTAAGAGTAGTAACTCCACAAATGGACCATTACACAGTAGAAATTTTGAAAAGGAATAATAATTAACAATTTATAAATTGTATCATAAAATCTCAAAAGCTTACCTACACTTCCAACAGGCAAGTCAATGAATACTTCACATGTGTGACAGCTTGTTAAAATGTATTAAAATTGGAAAATAAATTTATTCCACAGGCACTTACTGAGTACCCATAAGCATCAGGGGAAGTGATATGATGTTTTAGGAATACATAAGACCTTAAATTTTAGAATACGGCATGTATTAGAAGAACAGTAAAAAAATTTCAGGTATTTCAGAAATGTTACTTTGAGCGATACTAATGTATAATTAATTAGGGTAACTGCTTTTACAAAATACATTGTATAAATACAATTGGCTGAAGAATCTCCACACTGAAGATATTTATGACTTGGAACTACTTAAGTGAATATATATTACTCAATTCTGAGTAACCCACATATATTCACAAAGTCACAGAAAAAAGTTAAACGTGCCTGTCGTGCTAAACATGTTGATAATCTACTTGATAGCTTTATGCTCTAGGCCCCAGCCTAGTGTATAAGCGCTAGAGAAAATATTAAGCATTCTTCATGATATTTCATAGCATTGACCCTAAATCAGCCATGAGAATAAATAAACACAGCAGTATAGACCTAAAACATGAAACAAATAAGAGTTTTATCATTAATTTGCAAGCAAATATCACTTTTAATAAAATTTGAAAAGATTACCCATGGCTGTTTCTGGTCAGTTAAATTATGCTTCTCATAAAATGTAGTCTTATAAAGGATGAGGACATTTTAACATAGGAGAGTATTTTTAATATTTATAAAATTATGGGGAAGAAGGGAAGTGGCAGCAAATACTACTTCAGATGTTAATGGTAATTTCTAGAATGTTTTTGTCACACCCATTTAACCCTCTGTGAGATAAGAGAGGGAAACATTATCCCCATTTTATGGATGAATCAGTTGAGGCTCAGAAAAGAGTTTGTGACACAGAAGCAGTTCCAAGTGCCTAGTTACCCAAACGAGTGATTAGTGCTACTGGGGATTGTTTTTAGCTCTGACGGAGTCACCAGTTGACCAGCCTGTTGGGATTATCTAAGTGTTTGGTTCTCTTTCTCCTCCAGCTTTGTCTAATATTCACGGCACTTTGCTGGTCATTGTTTCATTTCTTCACTTGTTCATTCATCAGAAGTATCTTGGTTCCCTAGAATCTGCTCACACTACTGAGCAGCGCCTTGGCCGCGGCTCCCCATTCGCACACGTGACTAGGAAACATCTGCTTTTCTCGAAATTCAGAAAGTCAGATTTTTCTGCCTCAGCTTAAAAGAGATAGTCTATAAATTAGTTATTGAGATTTTAAAATTGTTTTTTAATCTTATACTCCATAAAGACAGAAATTATGTCTTACTCATCTTTTTAACCTAATTCCAGAATTTAATATATATGTTGTTGGATGATGGCTTATCTTTTATCTGAATTAAGTTTTTCTATGATGAATATGATGAATATTAGTGGCTATAGTTGTAAGCATGAATGATTATTTTTTTGATCAGGTTGATTGGTGTAGCATAGCCCTACTTTATGTTAAATTTTTGTCCTGTAAATTCCTCATATATGTTAGGCTTAAGTAGAAGGTATCTGTTTCCTCAAGAATTTTTTTAAATAAATTGAAAACCTTACAATTGTAAAGTAAGTTATTACCATAGACCTAAGCACAATTTGGTACTTCTAAGCTTGCTTTCTTTTTTTAATCTGTTCTGTCATTCATCGGTCTTCCTAATTATCTGTATCCATCTCTACACCTACCTCTCTCACCTGCCATCCTATTAGGATGTGAAATAACTGAGCCTTCCTCTGAACTCTTATTTCACATATACTTGCTGTGTGACATTGAGTAGATTCCTTAACCTCTCTGGTCTCCATTTCCTTATTCTAAAATGAGAATCATAGCAGTACCTACTCATAAAATTAGTAAATTGGTTAATTTATATAAAGCATTTATAATGGTGCCTGGTATCAGTAAACGTTCAGTACATTTTAGCTGTTTCCATTTTATCATGGTACCTCTATCTGGACTGCAGTAGAGTTTCATGAATACTTCTCAGCTCCTCCCTCACTAGGCCAAGCACCTGTTGAGGTAAAGGGAAAGCTTGATCACACTGAAAATGTGCGCTGGGCTTCCAACACAGCTTGTACAGTATCTTACCATATAGGAGACAGGCAGTGAAGATTTTAGAATAAATGAAGAGAGGGAGGAAGTTATTCTCTTCCCCTTCAGAGTAATGATAATTTGACTTTGTGTATTTGCTCTGAATGGAATATTTAAAAGATATTGATATAACAAGACCTATTTAGAAGAAGAGTATCCTTTAACCAATATTAATCAATATTTGATTATAAATTATCTCATGTCATGTATGTCAAAATTTTAATTTGCTCTTGTTCAATTTTTTATTTTTTATTTTTTTTGTAGCTCGAAAGTCAAAGAAGTTGGGAAAATTAAAAGGGATTCACGAGGAACAGCCACAGCAGCAGCCCCCACCGCCACCCCCACCTCCCCAGAGCCCCGAGGAGGGGACGACATACATCGCTCCCGCAAAAGAGCCCTCGGTCAACACCGCGCTGGTCCCTCAGCTCTCCACGATTTCCCGAGCACTCACGCCTTCCCCCGCTATGGTCCTTGAAAACATTGAACCTGAAATTGTGTACGCAGGCTATGACAGCTCAAAACCAGATACTGCTGAAAATCTGCTCTCCACTCTCAACCGCCTAGCCGGCAAACAGATGATTCAAGTCGTGAAGTGGGCAAAGGTACTTCCAGGTAGGACAGCCTGTCCCTTCACTGTCTGCATCCTGAACTGTAAGTCAGGCAGAGGACTTCGCCATGGCCAGCCAGGCGCTTGGAGTTGGCTTTCTATTAGAGCCTGTTATCAAATTTTTAAATTGATGTATTACTGAAGTATATGGGGAAACTCTAGTTATAATGTGCTCATTTCTTCTGAGAATGTAGGGTTAAGGATGCTGTTGTTAAAACAACAGATGAATTTCTTATGTTGATAATTGAAGTTGGAAGTTTCATCCCCTAAATATCAGTAAGATGAAATATATTCTGTTCATGAGAGCATAAGTTGAGCCCATTTTTAGCAGCTTATAAGCAGCGTTAATCTGAGCAAAGACCAAGTACATCCCAAGGCCTACACGGCAAGTTGTAAGAGACCCTGCAAACTCCTCTGTCTAAAAAATTTCTATCTCAGCAGCATTTAAATTGTCCTTGAAATTCTCATTGTAGTCATTTTTTGTGTTAGAGGATTTTATTAAGAAGGTCCCCCTGATCTACAGAAATATCTCTTTTTTAGAATTGTTATCACATTGTCACAGTTCATTAATCTTACATTAGCTATGGTCAGCCAGCAGCTATTAGGAAAAAGATTGGGGAAAGCTGGGATGACTGATTCTTTGAAGAAGAGATGAAACTCCACAGATAGAAAAACAACACGATGCCCCTAGGAAAAAGAGGGATTAAAAAGGAACAAAAGAGGGGCTGGAGGACCCTAAAGGGGTCTGTCAGGGGCAGGCAGGGCAAGTGCCAAGGATGCTTGTTCTACTACAGCACTTTGTCAAAGTCTAGTATTATGACAGAATATGGGAAGCAAAAATAATATTTTTAAAGCACCACAAACTCATGAAAACTAAGATCTTCACCATATGCAGGTGTTGGCAGTTACCGTGTATTAAATTACCCTTCACTTTAGTGTTATTTATTCATTGTAGGTGGGAGGAAGCAAATTTTAAAAGTTAATACAAATTCTTTCAGCCTAATGGGAGTTTTAGGCTGTCATCCCCAGAAACTTAACTGAGCTCTCCAGTTTTCGGTTTGCCCTGGAAGTTCACCCTCATCAGGAATTAAGGGAAAATTTAAAATGAAATGTGCAATAGGACTGGGTCTGTGGATGTTTCATAAATGACTATGGAATTGATTTGAGTAGCAAGGTGGCTGTTTGGGGTTGACTCAAGCTTCTTCCTGGAATATACTTACGTGCTAAGTGTTTTTCTGTGATGAATTGTTTTATTCTTCAGGATTTAAAAACTTGCCTCTTGAGGACCAAATTACCCTAATCCAGTATTCGTGGATGTGTCTGTCATCATTTGCCTTGAGCTGGAGATCGTACAAACATACGAACAGCCAATTTCTCTATTTTGCACCAGACCTAGTCTTTAATGAGTGAGTACCTATCAATTAGCCTTCATAAAACAAACTGCAGTTATGCGTTATGTTTTTTTAAAAAATGATTTCTAAACAGACATACGTTTATGGAACAATCTACAGAGGCTGGCATTTTTTCAGTTAAAAATGTGTAGATGTTCACAAACTTAACTTTTGCAGCATTATTCTGTACACTTGTGCGCAGTGAGCGTATATAAATCCCATATAATAGTACATGGAAATTTTCTCGAAGTATGATCCACTTGGCTGGAAATTTGACTGCTATAAAGCCACGATTAATAGAAAACAGTCTCTATTGGTATCTACTCCAGTTGGGAAGACTATCTAATTTCTAGGAGACGTGAATGTATAAAGTGCCAGTCTTTACGGCATCCTATAATGGCTCTTTTGTTAACAGTATACAGCTGCTCAGTGTGTTTTTGTGGCAATCATAATTACCCTTCTTTGCCATCATAAAGGAAGGTACAATTTTATTCTGTAGTGAAACAGTTTTAGTTTAAAAGATCGAAGGAATAGTCATAGATTTTTCTTTGGTCATGAATTCCTTCCTATTTGAAGTTTACATTTCAAGGCTGTTTGCGTTCTGCGTTAGCACATTTCATTTATGTGGATGTCTGGCAGTGCTTCTTTGTAATTGTTGGGTCAAGAAATATTTAAAAGGGAACATTCGAAGTATGATAGTAACCACAGCCCCCTTCTAACAGATGGCTCTCTCTAGAGATGTGAAAATAGGGGTTTCAGTTGGGATGGAGGTGGATGAGAAATACATTGGTGATAAAAAGAAGAACAGTAATATGAAAGATTAGAAGGGGGCACACAGTGCTGAGGGACCCCATAGTACCAGTAGAAATTTATCCGTTCACCCAAATGCGATGTATCACAGAGACAATTTTATTCCAAAGATAAATTAGGAACACCCATTGTTGATTCTCAAGGTAACCCTTCTTTTGGCAATTAGTCAGAACAAATAATTGCAGTGCTGCGTAAATTTTCATCAGAAGCATGAAGTAAAGCCAAGCACTTGAATGGTACACTCTGATTTACTTGTATCCTCGGTATCAGCTGATATTACTGAATAGTGAACCTGTCTTTAAACACGTTCTATAGACCAAAAGAAAAGACTTTCAAGCAGATCCTTGTCTTAAACTGAAGGGTAAATAAAAAAGAATCTCAGTTAGTGCCAACAGTGTATCAGCATTTGATTTTGTTTTTAACAAACGAAAACAGTTCATTTAATCTTATTTAGTACATCTATTTTTCTTGTCATAAAATACATATACGGGCGGTCCCCAGCTTATAAACGAGATTGTTTCTGTGGGTTTGTTCTTAAGTTGAATTTATTATGTAAGTTGGAACAGGTACATTTACTTATTACCTGTCGTAGTTTCCATTTGTAAATGCAAGTCATACATCGATCAGATGTCTGTAACTCGGGAACTTACTGTAATAACCTCTGTTCATAAGTGCAGGCTGTCCGTAAGTCAGATGTTTGTAACTCTAACTTGGGGACCACCTGCAACACACAATTTGCCATTTTTAAATGTGTGGTTCAGTGATGCTAATTTCATTCATACCATACAACCATCACCACTAACCATCTCCCATACTTTTTTAGCACAGAAACTCTGAACCCATTCAACAATAACTCCCCAAATCCCTATTAATCTTTAATCTGTGAAATAAGTAGAATGATATAATATTTATCCTTTTGTGCCTGCCTTGTTTCATTTAACCTCAGGTTTTCTGTGTTCATCCATATCGTTCCATGTGTCAGAGTTCCATTGTTTTTTATGGTTGAATAATATTCCATTAGATGTATATACAGTCAGTCCTCATTCTTTGCAGATTTTGTATTTGCAAATTTATCCACCTGCTACGTTTATTTGTAACCCCAAGGTTCATACTCACAGGATATTCATGGTCATTCACAGTCATGTGCAGAACAGCAAAAAAGTGAGTGGCCCAGAGCGCACGGTCCAGCTGAGATCAGACCGGAGGCTGCTCTGCCTTCTGGTTTCAGCTCGCGCCCCATAAACATGCCTGTTTTGGTGTTCTACTTAGCGCCCGGTCATTTGCATTTTTGTGACTTTGTTGGTAATTTCGCATTTAAAATAGCCCCCAAGCAGAGCACTGAAATTCTGTCTGGTATTCATAAGCTGAGGAAGGCCGTGAGGTGCCTTATAGAGAAAATGTGTGTCGGAGAGAAAGTCTCATCCAAGCATGAGGTGGCTGTGAGTTTAGTGTCAAGGAATTGGCGATATAGATTAAATAAGATGTTTTTAAACAGAAACACAAAAAAACAAGATTAGGTATGGTGACCAAGGTGCCCAAGGTAGGAGGCTTGAGCTCAATCCAGCGTTAGACCCTGTCTCAGATAAAAATTAGCATCTCCAAAGGCCGTAATCCTGCCTTTTCCCTAAGAGGAATGGTTCCGTATCTGCTAATCCAGTGTTTTCTGTGATTTTATAAAACATAACTATAGCAAATAAAAAGAACTGACCACATTGTGTCTATCCAGTCATTTGCTGGTGGGCACCTGGGTTGTCTCCACCTTTGCTATTGTGAATAACCCTGCTCTGAACACGGATGTTCAAATAGCTCTTCAAGACCCTGCTTTGGGGTGTACACTTTAGAGTGAAATTGCTGGGGCATATGGTAACTTTT